GAGAAGGCAAGTATTCCGGGAACATGCTGGGATAAATCACATGGCTGGAATATTAATAGTGAGGCAATAAATCTGAACAGAAAGAATCAAGGTGAAAACATAGGGGAGAGATTGTAATATTTATCAAAAGACAACTAGCTGGTAAATACAGATGATTAGTGGAAGAAGTGGTAACAATGAAATTTTGCATTTTCTCTGTCAGTGCAATACATAAAGAGGAATTAAGATGGAACATCTACCATGGGCCACAAAATCAGGACAAAGGACTGAACCAAATAGTAAAGATGCTGAAGGAAACTTGGATCCATCCCTGCAGTTCTGTTATTTCCTTCCCTGGATCTGAGTGCAAACGTGTGTGTGGACAGTTCAGGTGCAAAGCTGTGGTCAGGCAGCAGCTCTGGCCCAGCACAGAAGGAATTTGAGCCTGATGTTGTCAACGAGCACAGACCAAGAAGGTACCCACAGCTGGTCCCTGTGTGAGCAGCATCTTACAGATGAATCTCTTGGCCTGAGAGAATTGCAGGCAGCGGGATCTTTGTACTGTCCCAGGCTGCAAGTGTCCCAGCAGCGACACCAGGAACAGGGCTGGGAGGAATTGCTGCTCAGGAATTGCTGTCTTCCAAGACAGAAAGTATTGGAAGAATGGACACTTGAATCTTCGACGGCTGAAGTGAGAGCTAAGTCCCATTGTCCAACAGTGACAGGCTTCAGAATGTAAATCTGCCCAGGTTTTTGTAAGTAAAGCCCCTGGAATCCTGGGGTCAGTCCCATGCTGCTCCTGGCTCAGCTGAATCACCAAGTCTCCTGAGGAGCCTGGGCACACTGAGCGTGCCTGGGAAGGGCTTAGGAGCTGGTTCTCAGAAAGCTCAGGATGAAGAGGCAGAGGGGATGTCCTGCTTTTATACCTTCAGTCAGTACTTTTCTGTTGAAGGCAGGATTTTATTAGTTAAAGATATCAATATTATGTAATGTTACCTGATTTCTTACTTCAAGAATCCAAGGGATTGGTCTGGGTATTACTGCTTTAATTTGGTTCATTTTCACTTCACTTATCTTAGAATATTTTTTGGCACTTTCTTAAAAAAGAAGTGGAAGTGAAATTATTAGCAAGAGCTGAATAATTTGATAAGTTATTAATAGTTCCATTGGTCTATTTTTTGTGCGATAGATTGTTTTGTTACTTTACTAAAGTAAAGGGGGGAAAGGTAGGACTGTTCCAATTTTAATTACTGCTCTTTATCTTGCACTGCTTCAAAATCAGCATTAAATACATCCTTTTTTCCTAGGTAGTACATCATAGTGCCACATAATGGAACAAGGGTTCAAACAATATGAAGCCTGGAAATGTCAAGTGTGAAGGAAATGAACTGGCACACTGTTTTAATTTTTCTTTCTTTTTATTAAGATTTATAACATTGCATAGCCACAAAGTGTGCATGGCAGTCAAGGGTGAGAGCAAAGACAATCATCTGCATGAGAAACACAGGCAAAATGCAATCCTTGTGCAGACAGGTACCATCTTCCCCATCAGGAGGTCAGGAATGAGAATTCTTTTTTTGAGGAACCTCTCACCTGAGAGCTTGTACTGCTTTGAGCCATAAGCAGAATCAAAGTTACCTGCTTAGGTGCTGGTGTGCCCTTTGCAGAAGGCACAGTGCTGCAGTCCATCATCTCCCCTTACAGCCCCACTAATAAAAGGAGTGATTTTCCCTTAAAAACAGCAAGAGATCTTAGAAATTCCAGATACAGTAAATTTCTCATTGCAATGTGCAGTTATATGTGTTTAAAACACCTTCAGAGCAGTACTGGTGGTTAAGCTTAGGATCTATTCATTTTCCTAAGCAAAATTAAATGTTGTGAGAACAGCTCCAAGGGAAGGTCTGGCTGCAGTTTATGCAGATGCACCCTAGCTGGAACAGGAACAGATAGCACAAACTTGGTGTGGATTAGAAAATCTGTAAAGCCAATAAACACTCCACAGTCTGTGCTGAGCCCCGTATCAGTTCACTTACAGGGCTGTTCGTACCTCTGCAGGCTAGTTTGAAACTAATTCAGGTATTTCAGCTGCTAGAACACCTTTCCTTCAGTGTGGGCATTCATGCAGGACACACAGAGCATCATTTTCTCCTTTCTGTGTGCCTCTATCCAGTGAAGGCAAACATCTGTGTGACTGTAGTCATGGTTGGCAGAGCACAGCCATACTCTCAGATTGAGCTATCCAAGCACAGTCGCAGTATCTAGTCCTTCTCCCTTCATTCCAGTGAAATAAATATGGTGTGATTTCATTTGCAGCAATTAATTTAGAGAGTTGTGGACTACAATTAATGCTGCAGTCCATACATTCCACACTGACGTTTTCTAGTTGATTGTAAAATGCATAGAAGAGAGACAGCCATGGCAATGCTCCACTAAGGAAACCCAGGCCACAACCTCATCTGTCTGTGACAAGAAGCCTGGTTTAGGAAATGGAAATTTAGTTTTGAGGAGGATATTTCCCTCAGTTTCTCTGCTACAGTGGTGTAATGGCAGGGATGTAAGGACTCTTCTTGAATTTCACTCCTCTGGGCTCTGTGGTGGTTGGCATACTTTGGGCCATTCCTCAGGGTCAAACAGGCACCCATTTTTCCTGTGGAAGGATAACGGGCCCATTGCTGTGCCATGTGGCACATCCTCAGTTGGTCTAAGTCTCACTGAGAATCTACTGCAGAAAATCTTGGCTCTGCTGAAGTCAATGGCAAAACTCTCACTGGCTTCAGTGGGGATCAGGATTTATTCCAGCAAGTGCAGTGGAAGCACAGTTCTTACCAACCGGAGATCTGGTTCTGTTGTTTGACACTGGTTCTCAGTTTGTTTATTTATTTTTTCAATTTTAAAGGAGTTTGTAAAACAGTCCCCCCAAGCCCTGGAGCCCATGGATCTTTTGTCTCCATGTGATAAGGTAACAACATGTGCACATAGAACTTGGTTTCTCTATAGAAATAAACAACATGAAGGCAGTTAGTGATTCTTTTTGTTTACATCATTACTCTGAAGTACAGCTGTTGTCCATATTAAAGCAAATTTTATAACCTCCAGTATTTTTAAGAGTAAAAATCCATCTTAATTAGTAGAACTAATGGCTGGGTTGTTTTGTATTTGTATAAGCTACTCGGTC